AAAAAAAAAAAAAAAAAAAAAAAAAAAAAAACAAAGAAAAGAGAAAGAAAAAAAACAAGGAAAAGGAGAGCCGTTAGTCATCTGGAAAGGACAAAGTATAAATACATTAAACTCACAGTTTTGCAAAATATGAGGTAAATGCTCACAGCCTCACTCCAAACCCTGTCCTTGGCCTGCCCAGAGAAAATCACAGACAGGCAGGGGAATCACGGGCCCCTTTCTTAGGATCTGTAACTTGAATCCTCACAGGGACAAGTCCAACACTTCAGAAAATGCTGCCTCCCCCAGCCTGGGCTGGGACATTTCCTCAGCACAGATGAGGGGGTGCGGGGACAGAAGGGGAACCCTTTTAAGTTAACAAACCAACTCATAGCTTGGCCCTGTTCTCTCACCCGAGAGACAGGCTCACCACCAGCAATGTGATGTGCATCCATCCAGTTCTCCAAACTTTAAAACACCAAAGACAAGTCCCTTGTGGGGTCATTTTTATCTTTAGAAACCATTCTTAAGACCATGTTAAGTTTCCCCAAAACCACATGAAAATAAAAAACATGTATGATAGCTACTGTATTTTAAAGCATGTCCCAGGGAACAGACCAGAAATCTTATTTCCATAATGCAGCCTCTATTTTTTTTCCAGAGACCATCTTTGACCAGTGTTTATCTGAATTTGTCATATATAAAGATTGTACTCATACGCAATGACACCTAAATCATGAACCCAAGCCTTTGGCTTTAAGTGTTGAAACAAATCAAGAAACCTTTTGTTAGTTAACCAAACCAGAAAAGTTCCAGCTTACTGGGAGACTTCTCGTATTTGCCATTTCCCATGAATTCAGTTTGTGCTGTTTAAGACCTGGTTATTTCCCATGAGCCACACATGCTCTCAACCTTTCTTGAAGTAGTCCACACCTTCCTTTCCAGAGCTAGTTTCTATTTGCCCAAGTTAAGAACAGAAATAGAATTGCATTGACGCCACTCAGTACTTAACATAAAAATATATACCAACTTCACCATCCTCAGGATAAGGCATTATTTCATGTCCTTCTCCCAGAATTCAAACATTTGAAGATTGTTAATACACATACACACACTAGCCTTGGACATAAATGATCAAAAGGATCCTAAAAAGCCAAGTTGGTACGTGTCCCAGCACACACTCCAGTTTCTCATGATGGTACTATGTGCCACGTGTGGCAACACCCGTCAAGAGGTCTACTAGATGCCTCTATGCAACAAGTCAAACCAATTTGGTACAGATGACTCCCAAGTCTTAACCTGCCTGCCTCCAGGTTAGCACACATCTGGCAGCAGGTGGCATCCTCCCCCACCCCTTTCCAGAGGTGGTTATGGACACTTCAAAACCTGTGACACTTAACACGCTAAGACATCTGCAAATGAACAATCAGACAAAGCATTGCTGGGAGTTGGGAATTTTGGAAACTCTGTTCACTTACCACCAAATTTATTGAAGCCACCTCGGTCACTTCCGCTGGAGAAGACAAGTTAGAAGAAAGGACATGAAGCTTCCAACGGCTACAAAAGGGTGTTTTTTTGATTTTAACATTCCCCAAACATGGGTAGGTGTTTTGGGAAAAAGATACAAGTGGCTACTAAAATACATCCCTTCCTGACCAACCCTTGTCTGACCTTGAGCACGTCACACACATGTGTGCAGTTTCTCAGACACGGTTAAGAATTTTGCTTTAAAAGGTTATATATCTACTTCCTCTGGAAAAAAAATGACCCATTTTCCTTGGCTGTTCTTCCGACGTAGCAGATGTTTTTTTCCTCTTGTGGCGAGTGGTTGACAACCCAGTGGTTGGCTTAAAAACCCTACCCCCGATGTACCCAGAAGACATTTTCACACCAGGCTGGGATAGCCCTGAACACGTATTTGTGGTTTTTGCTTTGAAAGCAGCAAGCAGACCCAACCCTATTCCATAAAAAGTCAAAACCAAAGGCAATTTCCCCTTAAAGCAAGACAAACTTAGCTAAGCCCTATCCTAACTACTGAGCTGTTTTTGATTACACCCCACCCCCGGGGTCACCCCTTCTACACTGTGAGAAGAGCGGAGTATTTTGCAATGTCACCTTTCATACCTGTGGCACATAAAATGCAGAGCAGGTTAACAGTCACATAACAGTTGTTTTTCTTTTTAAAGTTTTGCATTAAACACACACATTAAGAGCTTTCCTTATTTTCTGTACATACTGAGATTGCCCCCGCCCACCTCTGAATACTTACCATATACAAACTAGTTTTTAAAACCTACTCTTTCCCAAAAAATTGTGTAACACTGACATTCCTCCCCTTTTCAAGGGAGACAGAGTAGGGTCCTTCACATTTACCAACAGATTTAACAAATTTTTAAATCAATCTAAGGCTTTACTTCAACTTCAGTAAGAAGGTAAGGAAAGAAGATCCAGTTGGACAAGCTGCTTTTAACTAACCAGGGGAAGGCGGACAGTGGAACAAATAGGGGGATACCACTGTCAGAAGTACTTTGCCCCAAAGGTCTGCACACCTCAGTCAAATGACCCCATAAACCACAAGTCACACACAAAATCACAAGTCAGTCAAACTGGTGCAAATCAAGCTCATAGATTCAAATGACTACAGAATACGGGAAGAATAAGTAGCCAATTCCTGGAAGCTAAAGTCAGGTTAACCATTACCAACTCCCTTAGAGGACACATAGGAAAACGCATACCAAGTTTCCCTACTATTTTCCCAGGAGTGGGCTCATTGGTTTTCCTTGCAAAAGAAAGTGTTTACTTCTTTTTTTTTTTTTTCTTTTGCCTAGGATATCAGTAACTCTAATCCATACAAAGCTACGTATTTTTCTTTGGAAATAAAAGCATCAATACTCAAATGTCTACTCAGATGTGTGGACAGAAATTCAGGCTCCCAAGCTCTCACAAAAATAAAATGGGGATATACAAAGAAAGTCAGTGCCCCCAAATCAAAGTCCTCACAGATTCCCAGAAAACAGGAATACTGACCATGCAACTGGCTTCAGGGGAGATTCATGCAACCCTCCACACTGCCCACCAAAGATACTCCCTGGTTCATGAGACACCTACCCCATGCCGCCTCTGCCTCCACGGCCACCTCCACGACCTCTGGGTTCATAGCCACCACTGCTGCGGTTGTAACCACCGCCACCACCCCTGCCTCGGCCCCCACGGTCCTGCTGGCCTCCCCCGTAGCCGCCACCGCCACCACCACTCTGGTCCTGATTGCCATAGCCACCGCCGCCGCCGCCACTCATGGAGGACTGATCTTGGCCATAACTGCCTGTCAAAGAAGAAAAGATCTTTTAGAAACAGCAAGTGGGGATGTAGTTTAGCTTCAGAGCCTGTGTTTTAGCAGGGACAAGGCCCTAAGTTTAATCCCAGCACCAAAGGGGGACAGGGTATGATACAGTATGAGATGGATCAACAGTGCCAGAAAGAAGTAATAGAACAAGAAGAGGGCTGGGCAACAAGGAAGCAAGTCCTTTAGGATAAGACCCTAACAAAAGAATATAAAAGTAGGAGACAGCAAAGATGCCTTCTCACCTCCACCGCCCCCTCCACCACCTCCACTGCTACTGTTGTACTGGTTCTGCTGTCCATAGCCCTGAGGGGGATTATAGGAGCTTTGCTGCTGTCCGTAGCTCTGTTGCTGTCCACCATAGCCAGACTGTTGGCCATAGCTGCCACTCTGGGGCTGCCCATAGCTGCTGCTTTGAGAACTGCTACCATAACTAGGGAGAAAAACAAAAAACCAAAATCATAATCCTACTATGTTTGCCCACAGTCTCCCATTTCTTCACTCTACCTACTCTCTTTACCAACACCAACCTCTCAATTAATTTACCCCTCATCTTCCTGGCCTCCCCCCTCAACACCTTACCTTCCCGAGGTGCTGCTGGGAGCTGGCTGCTGACCATAGCCAGGATAAGAGGACTGCTGCCCATACGATGACTGGGAACTCTGGCTACTGCCATAGCCACTAGTGGAGCCATAACCCTGGGGAGCTGACTGAGTGCCATAGCCTGCTATTAAGAAAAGAAAACGGAAAAGAAAAAAGAAAATGGGAATCAAAAACACTATGAAGAAAGGAAAAAAACAGCTAAAGAAAACATAGGTAACTACCTAATGCTCACCCATAATTGATTGATTGTTTTTTTGTTTTGTTTTTCCAGTACCGGGAATCAAACTCATGACCTTGCGCTTGCCAGGCAGGCACTGTACGGCAGTGCTAAATCACCAGCCCCCTCACCCAAAATTGAAACCTAAGCTTTACACATTGCTAACAAATCTTGCAACTTCATTACCCTTCTTTTAAACTCTTAATGTTCTAACTTTAGGATTATTTAAAAAAAACAAAACAGTAACTTTAAGATTATTGCAATTTCAAATGAAAGGAAAATGCTCAAAAGTAAAGGGCAACTGGGGTGTGGGAAAAGAGCAGGAAAGAAGGGGAAATTATGTATGTATGTATATAAATATACAGGAGAGCTAACATAGGTGTACTACCGGTCTTCTATTGCTTTACTGAAATTAACAGTGAATGATTACTTGTTTGATCAGTATTGCCTGTCTCATTTGTTTTCCTGAGAGACCACTTGGACAACAGCAATACGTAATACAACAATCATTGTTAATTTCCTACCACTTTGTCTGTACCTCTGTGTTGTTTGTATTGTTTTTATGCTATTTTGTAAATAGATGTCTGTTTGTTAATGTTTTCCTTCTTTTATTTTTAAAATAAATAATAAATAAAGAGGATTATTGCAATTTCATTTCACCTATTCAGAAGTCAGTCTCTGAGCCCACTAATCACAGCCCAAAAGATCTCAATTTATTAAGCACATTTTAATGTGCTGGCATGTGTACAGTATACACAAGACAACCCACATTATTTAGACTTCTAGACCTTACAGTAAATTCTATTTCCTTGTGTATCACACGACAAATAAATTTTGTGGGGTTTTTTTGCCTTTTTGAGACAGGGTCTCGCTATGCAGTTCAGGCTGGCCTTGAGTTCACTTTGTAGCCCAGGCTGGTCTCAAACTTGCAATGATCCTCCTGCCTCAGCCTCCTGAGCGCTGGGATTAGAGGCATGCACTACCACACTCAGCCACATGATATATAATAGCCTAACTTCAAGCAAACCATTTCCTCCACCTAAGAATCAGCCCAAAGCTAGGCATGGTGGCATAGGCCTGTAATCCCAGCACTCGGGAGCTAGGCAGGAAGATTGGAGAGTTCAAGGCCAGCCTGAACTGCATAGCGAGACCATTTCAAAATGACAAAAAAAGGGCCAAAACCAGAGAGGGCGTGGCACATGCCACTACCTAAAGAGGCTGAAGCAGGAGAGTCTCAACTCAAGGCCAGCCTGGGTAACTTTGCAAGGCCCTGTATCTGTGTCTGTCTCAAAATAATAATAGGCTGGATACGAAAGTCAGTGGTACTGCATACAGTACCTGCCTAGCATGCAGAAGGCCCTAGTACTCACACAATCCCCAGTACCACACAACAAAGTGGTAATAATGAGCTTAAAACTGGTTTTCCCTATAGGAAATATATCCTTTCTTGGTGATAAGGAAAACAGGAAAAAGTCCAACACACCAGCTAAGAAAGAATCCCAAACAATAAAAAGCAACAGCCACAATCATTAAGCATTTTTTTCTTGAAAGGACTAAGAATCTAAGAAAGTTTTAAAAATTATAAACTGATTCGGGGGAAAAAATATGGGAGTCGGAACATTTCATCACTGCTCAGGTTTAACAAATGCAACATTTACAAAGACCAAGAGGTGGAATAACCCACTAAGGGACTCACTGTTCTGTGTCTGTCCGTAAGAAGAACCGTAGCTGCTCTGGCCATAGCCTGAAGTGTCTGACTGGCCATAACCACTGTAACTCTGCTGTCCATAGGGCTGACTGCTCTGCTGGGAGTAGCCCTGCCCAGGCTGGGTGGGGTAGGCCCCATAGCTACAGAGAAGAAAAAACACCCTGTTAGAAAAAGTTACCTTAGGAAAAAAGAGGGGATACTTAATGTTACCTTTACCTCCATAAACTGTGAAACTCAAAACACAGCACTCACCTTTGGGTTGCTTGTTGGGTATAGTCTGCAAAACAAAAACATAATTACATTAGTTTCAGTGTAACAGTGCTGAAGTCCTCACATCCTGGAACCTCCAGACTAAGAAAATAATCAACAAAATAGTCATTACTCTCTAAGAAAGAGCACAATTCTCCCTTAACACACTAGCTGAGAAGAACAAACTAGTAATTTCATTACAATTTTTTAAAAAGGGTAACCGGAGTTGGGCTTGGTGGCAAACAACTGTAATCCCAGTATTCGGGAGGCTGAGGCAAGAGGATCATTTTGAGTTGGAGACCAGCCTGGGTTACAAAGTGAGCTCAAGGCCAGCCTGAACTGCGCAGTGAGACTTTGTCTCAAAAAGACAAAAAAATTTTTAAAAATTTAGAAACAAAAAATAAAAAGGGTAACCCGGGAGTGGCAGCGCACCCCTGTAATCCCAGAGAGGCTGAGGCAGGACTGCCTGCACTACACAGCCTGATCTCCATAGCGGGACCCTGTCTCAAAGAACTACAAGTTTCTAGAGACCAAAACTTAACTGGAAAAACTAAGGATTTCATTAGGCAGACACCTACAATTATCTCCAAACTCGATTTGCCAGAAACTGCTCTAAATTGACCTAACGTTTCACTTTCCCGACCACTCCTGGAGAAAAGTACTACCACCCGACAGTCAAGATACAGTAACTAGCCCAAACCTACAGCGCTAGATGACATAGATTTAGTTTCAGTTAAGCCCGAGGCAGTGCTGCTCAGAATGTGCACTCCAAAGACCAAAAAAACAGGAATGCCTAAAAAAAAGAATCTTGCAGTGCATGGTGCTACACGTAGCACTCAGGAGGCTGAGGCAGGATCAAGGAGTTCCTGGCTAGCCTGAGTTCAAGGCCAATCTCGCCAGGCGTGGTGACGCACACCTGTAATCCCAGCACTCGGGAAGCTGAGGCAGGATCTTTGCGAGTTCAAGACCAGCCTGGGCTACAAAGTGAGCTCAAGGCCAGTCTGAACTGCATAGGGAGACCCTGTTTCAAAAAGACCAAAAAAAAAATGGTCAATCTCAACTACCAGAACCCTCCTTTTAAAAAAAAAAAGACTGAAATAAAAGGCCATTCTTCACACTTGGACTAACCTGGGAGAAAGCAAAATTAGGGTCAAATCGGCGAACTAACACGAGAGAATCGTTTGACCCCCAAATGACAGATAATCATCAACGTAAATGGTAAGCGGGATTCCAGTTCCCAGACCTGTGGCTCCAATTCTGTCTCCAAGAGCTCTCCAAGATCAAGCCCAGAGCAGAACGCACGTTTAAGACGCCACGACAAAGACGCACTCGCAGGATCAGCTCTATCTCCTCCGTACAGGAAACGAGGCCCTTCCCCCGCGGAAAAGGGCGAAAACCCGGGAGAGGACGTGGGCCTCGCGCGGCCGTTTCTTTCGCTTCCCCCCACTTAAACAGAAATTTAGGCGGGAAAACACTCGGGCCGGGTCCCCATGCCCGACGGCCAATCTCTGTCCCCTCCACGGAAGCGCGGCCCAGACCCCCGGGCCTCCGCCCCGGCCGCGTGGCAAGCAGGCGGGAACAGCAGTCCCGCCCTTTCCCCCGGGACCGGGAGGCCGAAGCCCAACCGGACGCAGGCGGCGCGGTCTCCGGCCGAGGGTCTCGCGACAAAAAGCAGGACCGACACGAGGCGGAGAAGGGGAACACGCACTGCCAGGGGGAGGGGCGGCAGGGCGCGTGCGCGCACCAAGTGCCCGGATGCAGCGCTGCGACAAAGCGGACCCCACCGCGGGGCCCAGGCTGCGGGACGAGGCTGCGGAGCCCGGGCATTCCCACCCTCCCCTAACGCTCGAAATCTCTAAGAAGGTCCCTTCCCAAAACTCCATGCAAATCGACCAGGAAAGAAGGACAGCTCCTGGCGCGAGGCGCCAGAGGGAAGAAACAAAATGGCGACACCGACCTCCCCCTTCCACCTTCGCCGCCGCTTCCCGCCACGGCGGTGCGAAAAACTGGAACGAGATCGCCAACCGGGGCCCACCGAAAACCCAAAACCCACCGAGGGGGAATGAGACCCTGAACCAGCACGGAACCACCGCCTCGCGCGCCCCTACATACCGTTTGAGGCCATGTCCGCGCACGCGCACACAGGCCGACAAGCAACGCGATTCCACCGCCGCACAGCACCGACGCCTCGCGGACTGAGCAGCCCCGCCTCCTGCGTCGGAGCTTATGTAGGGCTCCGCCGCCTACGCACCGCGGCGGAGCGTACCACCTGTGCAAAATACAGAGGGAAGCAGAGCCGGTTTCTTAACATGTTCCAGGGAATTAAAGGGCTCAAGCAGACAAAAGTGAAACGGCGTAGGCGAGGACGGAGATAATAATATACATCCTCATATTCTCTATATAAGTAACTTCTGCTCGCTCTGCAGAACTAGCTTCCGCCTCACGCCCCACCCTGTAAAGGCATAATGGTACGGTCTCCACCCGCGGAGGGTGAGGCGAGGGGCCCCGGGTGTTTGCTTGGTGGAACTGTAGTCAAGGCCCGGAGTAGCGGAGGAGGAACCGAAATTCCTTTCGCTGGGCCCCACTTTCTCCGGGGACAGCGAATCGTGCGCCCCGTTGCCCTTTCACTGTGTCCGACGCATTGTTCCTCGCCTCGACCTCCCTGGCTCTAACGTTCTTCTCCTGGCAGCATACGTCGACCCCATCTTCCTGAGGCTACCTTTCCATCAGTCCTCCCGGGGGTTTGTAGATTGACTTTTTTTTTTTTTTTTTTTT